ACCAGTTTACATTCCCTCCAACAGTGGATTAGGTACCTTTTCGCCCACATACTTTGTGGTTTATTTCTGTATGAAAGCCATTCTAAGAGGGGTAAGGTGAAACCTCACTGTGTTTTGATTTGCGTTTCCCTGACAGCTAGTGATCCTGAGCATTTTTCATGTGTCTGTTAGCCATTTGAATTTCATATTTTGAAAAACACCTGTTTAAGTCCTTTGCCCATTACTTAACTGGATTGTTTGTTTTGTTGTTGTTGATTTTCTTTAGCTCCTTATAGATTCTGGATATGAATCCTGTATCAGTTGCATAGTTTGCAAATATTTTCTCCCATTCTGTTGGTTGTCTCTTCACTTTGAGTGTTTCATTTGCAGTGCAGAAACTTCTGAATTTGATGTAATCCCATTTATCAATTTTGGCTTTAGTTGTCTGTGCCTCTGGGGTCTTTTGCAAGAAATTTTTGTGTATGTCAATGTCTTGCAGAGTTTCCCCAATGTTCCCTAGTAATTTGATGGTATCTGATAATAGATTTAGATCCTTGATCCATTTTGAGTGGATTTTTGTTTAAGGTGTTTGTTAGGGGTCTTACTGCATACTTCTGCATGTGGAGATCCTGTTTTCCCAGCACCATTTGTTAAAGAAACCATCTTGCTCCATGGATTGATTTTAGCCCCTTTGTAAAAGATAAGTTGGTTGTAGATGTGTGGATTCATTTCTGGGGTTTCTATTCTGTTCCATTGGTCTACACAACTCTTTTAACCTTTGTACTTAAATGGTGATAGATATAGAAATTATAATTATTCAGACTTGAGCATTTGGTAAATATTTTCTGAAAAAATGAACTTGCCATCTCAAAGAAAATACATTGAATATATTTAGTGCGCATGATAAAAGTAATGTTTTTGAGAGAAAAATAAGAATTTTGGAAAACCTGTCAACATTAACATGATGGCTTTTCAATGCATAAAGGCTCTTATGAAGAGCCATATTTCAACAGAATCATAAGCAAAATGGACGTTCCTTCCTCCCTTCAGAGAAAAGTATATCATACTTTGGTGGCCCCTTCTTTCCTCTGGGATCTCGCCTATAGGGGTCCTTTGTGTAGGAAGTCTTTTGCCAGAGTGTCTTGGCTTTCTGTACCTGAAATGCTTCTCCTGGGCTTTCCAGTCTGACTGGAGTGCCTTAAGGGCTGATTCTGAGGTCAGAGTGCTACCTAATGCAACTGTTTTTCTATGAGACTGCTGTATGGACTGATTCCCATGTTGGAGCCTTCTCTCCTTTTTAATTCTGTTTATTATTGTTTCCATACACTTAATCCTATTTATATAATGAATTTTTCACTTGATCCTATCTATATGGTCACTTTATTACTTAATCCTATCTATTTGGTCTTTATAACACTTAAGCTGCTATTAGCTGACTTAAGGGATTTTGGGGTCCTATGGCATTTTGTTTAGCTGTTCCCTTAGAAGTGGGTCTCGGGGAGTATGTAAGACTATATTGTTTTATAGTTGCACCCTTCATTCTTTCCAAAATTATAGCTTTAGGGTTTTGGCAATTCTTCCCACCAGGCCCATCTCCTACCCACTCTCCCATTCCCCTTCCTCTTCCCTTTCTTATTCTCAGTCTTATTCTTTACTAAGGCCTATTTTCAGTTAGCTTTATATGAATATGATTAGCTCTATGTTAAGTATAGTGTTCAGTGATTCATATGAATGAGAAAAAGAAGGAAAATACTCTGGAGGAAAAGAAAGAATTTTAATAACTACTAGTGTGTATCACGATTCTCATTTTTTAAAAAGATTATTTATTTATTTATTTGAGAGGTAGAATTTCAGAAAGTGAGTAGAAGAGACAGAAAGGTCTTCCATCTGCTGATTCACTCCCCAAATGGCCGCAACAAAGCTGCACAAATCCGAAGCCAGGGGCCAGGAGCTTCTTCCAGGTCTTTCATGCAGGTGCAGGGACCCAAGTGCTTGTGCCATCTTCCACTGCTTTCCCAGGTCATAGTAGAGAACTTGATCTGAAGAGGAGCAGCCGGGACTAAGAACTGTTGCTCTTATGAGATGCTGGCACCACAGGTGGAGGATTAACTTACTGTACCACTGTGCCGGCTCCATGTATCACAATTGTCTGTCTCCCTCCTTCCCTTACACACACACACACACACACACACACACACACACATGTCGCTCCCCCTCTTCGTGGAGGAACGACACAGGACCCTGCGCTGTTCTTTCGTCTGCTCGGCCCTCCCCAGGTTTGCTGCTGGTTCTTCCCGGGTTGGCTACTGTCCCTTCCACCTCCGTGGAAGGGCGGTTCCCTCTGGCCACTTTCCCCACTTCCGCAGGGGAGCGGCACACCGCCGGCCGGCTCTCTTGGGGGCTGCACAGGTGTTCCCCTTAGATGTTCCCCTTAGATGTTCCTGGTGCATGCCGTCTCTCTCCTCCTTTATAGTCCTCTTCCACCAATCCCAACTCTGTTACCCACACGCCGAGTACGCTGCTCTCCTCCAATCAGGAGCAAGTCCTACAGTTTATTGGCTGAACTGGAGGCAGCTGTGTAGAAGCTGTTTTCTTCTCTCCCAGCGCCATATTGTGGGAGAGCAGATGCATAGAATAAGTCTTAATTCCAGTAACTTAGTCTAGTCCGAGTTGCTCCCCACACACACATACACACTCACAGACACAGAATCCCACCTTCTTGTACCTGATTTATTAATATGCCACTTAATTATTGTATGCTAATAACATTAGTGCTATGTTATTTCTGTAGCTTTCCTTATTTTGCACCTATTGTTACATTTTGAAATATTTATTTTTTCAAATCAGCTTTAATATTATATTGTGATTTTTAAGTAAAACTTGAAATCTCAGGAAAATATTTATTTGGCGATCAGAGAGACAGAGAGGGCTTCACTTCTGCTCATTCATTCCCTAAATGCCCACAATGGCCAGCGCTGGCCACCACAGTGAGGAGCTAGGAACTGAATTCCAGTCTCCCACATGGCTGGCAGGAACCTAATTACTTGAGCCATCACTGCCATCTCCCAGAGTCTTCATTGGCAGAAAGATGGAAATAAGACTTTGAGCCAAGAATTTAAAACCCAGGCACCCCGATGAGGAACATGGGCATCTTACCAGCTGGACTGAAGGCTCACAGCAGAAAATGTGACATCTTAAGAGTTTTTTTATATCTTAGATTATATCATAAATACTTCAGTCATTTAAGAGAGGATTAAGATCTATATGTATAAAAGCAAAAAATGCGATTTTTTAATTTGTGAACTTCTAGATGTTAAAATTTAAATAAAGTAGAATCTCAGCATTGCCAAATATGACTAATCAAAACAGTGCCCTTGTCACTCCTTTTTTTTTTTTTTTCTGGGCATGTTAGTAATAAAATTATAAGCTGCCTGAAGTGAGGAATCATTCTCTTTGTTTCTTTACAGTCCATGTAGATAGAAGGTATTGAATAAATATTTGTTTAGTTTTGTGGCTTAATTAATTTTTATTAACCCCTAAGTAACATTTTCATTTCATTTACAGTTAAGGGAAAGCATCATATTCATGGTAACATTTTTATGATATGGAGAACTTTTTAAAGATATTTTATACCATTAATCATGCAATGTAATTATCATAGAAAATAGGTATATATATATTAGCACTGTTAGAAAATTTCAATTATCAAGACTCTGTCTTTATTTTTATTCTCCATGTTTTACCATGTGTTTGACCAGAGGACTTCTGTCAGCTGTTTCTCAATCTTAAAATAAAACAAAAAGGGGGCCGGCGCTGTGGCTCACTTGGTTAATCCTCTGCCTGCGGTGCCAGCATCCCATATAGGTGCCGGGTTCTGGTCCCAGTTGCTCCTCTTCCAGTCCAGCACTCTGCTGTGGCCTGGGAGGGCAATGGAGGATGGCCCAAGTGTTTGGGCCTCTGCACCCGCATGGGAGACCAGGAGGAAGCACCTGGCTTCTGGCTTCGGATTGGCATAGCTCAGGCCTTAGCGGCCATTTGGGGGGTGAACCAACGGAAGGAAGAGCTTTCTCTTTTCTCTCTGTATCTCTCTCTCAATGTCTACCTCTATCAAATAAAAAAATAAAATGAAATAAAAATATGTTACACAGCAGAGACCAGGAGAGAAATAAAGTCAAATCCTTTTACTCTCTATTTTGCATCATATTACAGTAACAGAATGTGGCTTTTGTTCAAGTTTTATGAACCAAAATCCACAAAATATGAGTTGAATGCCAGTCATTATTGGTAGCAGAAATGAAGTGCGTGATACTCAGCTGTGTTTAAAAGAATGATGTTTATAATGAGATGTCTGGATATTCAGAGTGGCTTGGCAGTTTGGTAGAAATGTTCTCCTTGAAAAGGTTTACAATTTTCAAAAATAATTATTGATGTAAATTCTGATTATCAAAGTAGATAAATCCCTTATGGGTGCATTAAAGCAAAGCTATTAAAGAAATAAAACCTTGCTTTTATCAACCAGGTGTATAAAATTATACATCATCTCCATAAGGCTTTATGGTAATATGTTCAAACTACCCAAATCAAATAGGAAATTTAAAATTATGTAACAAAGCAGGTCTAAAAAGAAAATAAGTGAGCCTTCCTGGACTAAATAAGTAAAAAGTATCTTACACAGTTTGGAAAATATGAAAAAAGCTTCAGATACTCAACAAAAAGAGAAACTAATCCATATTTCCAATGTACTAACAACATTTAACTCTTTTTGAATTTATGTTGTCCTCTGGACTAATTATTTCATGAGTCCTGTGCAGTTGGATTTAAATTGCATTCACTATTCAAGGATAACATTGCATTTAAAATTCTATAATTTAGTTACACATACAAACTCTTTTAAACCTTGTCAGTAATTTAACAGGAAATGCAGTGTTCCAGCTCTGAAAGCAAACTCTTCAAATGAGTGATTGCTGTTTTTCTGTGGGAAAACCAACCTAAAGTAACAATCTTTGTTGATGCTTGCTCAGATCAGGTGGACCAAAACAGCAGGAAGTGCCTCTGACAGATTCCAGGACTCGAGTGTCTTCAATGAGACTTTGCGGATTACAAATATTCAGCGACACCAAGGAGGCCGGTATTACTGTAAAGCAGAGAATGGCTTGGGGTCCCCAGCGATAAAGTCAATCCGAGTGGATGTGTACTGTAAGTAACTTTCCCTGAAAATTGTGAATAAGTGCAGTCTGGGTTTTCTTTCTGGTATCGCTGCTGTTCTCAAAAACCATAGAGTTCTGTTTACTTGGGAATGAAAAATATGTAAGAAAATGATGGCTCCTTTACCACATTCCCAAAGAAGGAATTTTTCATGAATTTTATGATATTATGTATATTCCTTATCGGGCATTTAGGAATCATATTCATGAGAAGACAAAATATTATTGATAATCCTAACAGCCTAGCATTGTAATATATATACTTTATATATTTATTCCTATATTTTTATACAGAAAGGATCATTTTGTTTATAGTGTAACTTGTGTCTGTTTTAACCGTGTGTGAATCATGCTATTCTTCTTGAATATTTGAAAATGCAGTCTGAGAAGCATACAGTGAATTGTCTTGTGAATTCCCAAAAATTTCTGTGTAGAGTATATTTTTGACCCAGTTCTATTAAAAATAATCAACACCAACCCTGGGCAATGCTATGCCACCTGGAAAATGTTTTATTTTTTGTTCTTAATCTCATTTTCCTACTTTTTGCTATTGACAAATATATTTAAAATGCTCTGGGTTTCCTTACATCTGCACTAGAACAAATCAGGGCCCAAAACATTCAGCTTGGTCTTTTTCACCAGTTTGTCTATCAGTCCATTATCTTATTACAAGAACTTGTATTTGATTTTTTTTAAATCTCTAATGTTAGAATATAAGGCAACTTTTTCTTTCCTTATAGTAATTCAGATATAAGTAGCAAGGGAAGAGTGCCTGTTTTCTACTCATCTTTCTTATTTTCCTCTTCGTTTTTTTTCAGTTCAGGACAGTGTTAGGACGTGTCTTGAAAGAGTACGAAGGTTATTTATCAGACTTGATGCTGAATCTCGTTATTCAGTGACTGGCAAGTGAGTGACGGAATAGCTTTTGACATTTGTCTTGCACATTCAGGTCCTTGCTTCCTTTCTGGAAAAGATGGGAGAGCAGCCTGTACTCCATTCTCTTGCAGTATCTTTTGGTCCCTGAGACATCCATTGGCATATTTTTAAGCAACATTCTTCCGGCATGCCACCTTCTTCCTATCAGCATAGGTACACGGGTTGGCCATGGTTGTGTACTTCCCAATCACAACATTAAAACCCCTTGTGTCCCTTCACTTGACCTAATATTTCCAGTCATTTTGCTGACATATAATTTTATCCTAAATTTAACTGACATTAATTGTATAATACCATGTTCTAAAGCATGTATCTGTACTTTTTCTTATAATTTAGATGATCCATGTAAAAATATATCTACTCAGGAATTTATACACAATTCTAAGCTCTAAAAACTTTTCAAAACTTGTTTTTTTTCTTTTCTTTTCAACTTTTATTTAATAAATATAAATTTCCAAAGTACAACTTTTGAATTATAGCAGCTTTTCCTCCCATAACCTCCCTCCCACCTGCAATCATCCCATCTCCCACTCCCTCTCCTATCCCATTCTTCATCATGATTCATTTTCAATTATCTTTATATACAGAAGATCAACTTAGTATAGTAAGTAAAGATTTCAACAGACTGCACCCACAAAGACACACAAAGTATACAGTACTGTTTGAGTAGTAGTTTTACCATTGATTCTCATAGTACAACACATTAAGGGCAAGAGTCCTACCTGGGGAGCAGGTCCACAGTGACTCCCATTGTTGTTTTAACATTTGATATTCTTATTTATGATGTCAGTAATCACCCGAGGCTCTGTCATGAGCTGCTAAGGCTATGGAAGCCTCTTGAGTTCACCAACTCCCATCTTATTTAGACAAGGCCATATTCAAAATGGAAGTTCTCTCCTCCCTTCAGAGAAAGGGACCTCCTTCTTTGATGGCCCATTCTTTCCGCCGGGATCTCACTCATAGAGATCTTTCATTTAGGTTATTTTTTTTTTTCTTTTTTGCCAGACTGTCTTGGCTTTTCATGCCTGTGAAACTCTCATGGGCTTTTTAGCCAGATCCAAATGCCTTAAGAGCTGATTCTGAGGCCAGAGTGCTGCTTAGGGCTTTTGCCATTCTATGAATCTGCTGTATATCTGCTTCCCATGTAGGATCATTCTCTCCTTTTTAATTCTATCAATTATTTGCATACACTGGTCTTATTTATGTAATTCCTTTGACACTTAATCCTATCTTTTTGATCAATTATGAACTTAAACTGATCACTTTAACAAGTAAGATGGCATTGATACATGCCACCTTGATGGGATTGAATTGGAATCCCCTGGTACATGGAAACTTGTTTTTTGTTTATTTTGGGAGGCAGGGGGTGACTTTAGTTCACAAAACTTGATGTGTGAACTACTTTGGTGGCAAAATTTGACCTGAAATAACTTGAATCTAAAAATAGAAAATACTGTATACTCTGTTTACCCTACTTTTTATGAATAATACATGTTTGGCTAACAACACACTGGACTGCACAGTATAGCCAACAATCCCATTGTGTTATGTAATTAATCGTGTATGTACTGTATTATTTCTCTAAAATCAGAAGACTTCTGAAGCATAGTCTCCAAAGGTTTTGAATAAGGATCATGACCCATATTGCTACCACAATAGATTTGACAAAAAAAAGAAGATTGTACTGTTGGATTAAAAATCAAATACAAAGAGAGGAAATAACTTTTTTTAGAGTTTAAAAAAATGTCTTCTTTCCTCCTTTATTGCAGAGCTTTTTAGTACTATTTTGTATTATGCTACTCCTTTTGATCTCCTCATATCTCTTGTCTAGAATGCATTATGTCTTCACATCTTAGTTCATATTGGACACCTACCTAGAAATGATAACAATGCTGCCTCCAGTTTTCCCAGCCTTCTTAGTCTTCTAAGGCTTGCATCATCTTGTGTTCAGCCGCACCCAAAGGCTCTAGCTCTGTTACCTCCTTTTTTGAATTCCTTTGGGGGCTTTTCTCAAACCACCGGAACATGACAGACATCTTGTTCCATGGTATTTATGTGAAATGTCACTGTGATATATACTGTATTGGAGTATTATTTTCAGTATTGTTTTGGTTGCTATTAGAAAGAAAAACTAAAATTATATTATTTGAGAAAATGGCATGTGGAATTCTAGACTCTGTGAACAAATGTGGTATCTGTGTAATACAGATAACTCAGAGAATGCCTTAACTTTGGCTCCAAAGTAGATTGTTATAGTATGGCAATGTTGACATAATTTTTAAGTACTTAGGTCTGTTCTTAAATGTTTTAATGAATATATGTCTGTTTTTTAAAGATTTATTTATTTATTTGAAAGCAGAGAGAGAGAGAAAGAGGGAGGGAGGGAAAGAGAGGGAGGGAGGGAAACATCTTCCTTCCATAGTGGCTGGAGCTGTGCGGATCCTGAAGCCAGGAGCCAGGAGCATCTTCTGAGTCTCCCACATGGATGCAGGGGCCCAAGGACTTGGGCCATCTTCCACTGCTCTCCCAGGCCATAGCAGAGAGCTGGATAGGAAGTGGAGTGGCTGTGACTCTAACTGATGCCCATATAGGATTCTGGCACTTCAGGTGGCAGTTTTACCAGCTAAACCACAGCACCGCCCCCATATATTTCTTTCAATAGTAAATTTTCAAACCACAGCACCGCCCCCATATATTTCTTTCAATAGTAAATTTTCAAACATGTTTTGAGGAATACAAATACTCCACAATACAGACAATGATCTATTTGAAGAATAAGGCTTTCCAAATATAAATTAATAGACAACTAGAGGTCTTATGTTGAAGTATATTATATATACATGATTTTTTAAAGATTTATTTGAAAGTCAGAATTAGAAAGGGGGGGAGATAGAGACAGAGACAGAGACAGAGAGATAGGGAGGTCTTCCATGCGCTTGTTCACTCCCTAGATGACCACAATGGCTGGTGCTGGGCCAGGGTGAACACAGGAGTCTGGAGCTACCTCAGGATCTCCCACGTGGGTGCAGAGTTCCAAGTACTAGGGCCATCTTCTGTTGCTTTTCCCTGGCAATTAGCAGGGAGCTGGATTGGATGTGGAGCAGCCAGGACTGCTTCCATTCTCCATTTAGGATGCCGGCAGTACAGACTGTGGCTTAACCCTGTATGCCATAGTGCTAGCCCTCTACATGAATTTTTGATACACAGGATTTATCATTGTAATTGAGGATAATACTAGCATGTTAATTATTTTAAATTTGGCAACATTGATGTCTAAAAATGTATTATAATGTGTAGTTCAGTGTCATCTTTGAATTCAGATTTGATGTTGCTTGCTTGAATGAGATGCTTATTTTTTTTATTTGTTTTTTATTGCCTCCCCCCAAACAAACATTTTATTTAATTAATACAGACCTCATGCATTTCATAAGTACATCCTTAGGAATATTTTTCCCACCATAGCAGCCCTCCCATGCATTCTCACACCCCTCCTCCTCCTCCCATTCCCAGTTTTATTATCCACTAAGATCCATTTTTGATTAATTTTATACACAGTAAACCAACTCTATCCTAAGAGTTCAACAGTTCGCATGGTATATATATAAAAAAAAATGTTCCTCAACAGTCAAGACAATGGATGTTCAAAGTTACTACATCTTGAAGTTAATTTCACTTCATCTTTTTGTTTTGTTTTGTTTTGTTTTTGGAAACTTCCTTAACTTCAAAGAGGCAACCAAGAATGATATACATCTTTTGGGAGCACTTAGATATAGTTATAATAGAACCCTTTGAGGACAGAGGTCCTGCATGGGAAGTTAGTGCACAGTGACTCCTGTTGTTAATTAACAATTAACACTCTTATATATGACATCAGTGAACACCCCAGGCTCTTGATATGAGCTGTCTAGGCTATAGAAGCCTTTTGAATCCACAAACTCTGTCAGTATTTGCACAAGGCCATAAGCAAAGTTGAAGTTCTCCTCTCCCCTCAGAGAAAAGTACCGCCTTTGATGACCACTTCTTTGCACTGGGGTCTCACCAAAGAAGGTCCTTTAT